ACAGTTCTATGAGTAATGATTTCGTTTATTAATATCTTTCTTTGTCGTCTAGGCTATGTCATTTTCTGTGTAATTGCTGCTAAACTCCTCATCCTGTATTAGCGTGCCGTTCTGCTCTTAGTTATTTGTTTTCTGTTCATATTTCATAATGTTTCAGGTTTCAACCTATGGATCGTTGACCGTAGCAACAAGATTCTTATATGTTCAGGTATGTTTCGTTTTGTTATTGTATATATGTCATTCTAGAAGGGCACGGTACTGACGGTAATGTGTGGCTTCGGGTTCTAATTGACCTCGCTTAGCGCCAAGATCGTAAACGCTGTCCGAAGTAGCCGCGGGTATCGAGGAGTTTGCCCAATGAGCATCGACCTCGAAGGTGTCCAAAGTATCCCCGGGTATTGAAGGGTCTTCGAGTCACGGCCCACTCCACAATATGCGGGCTCTCCCTCGCCTATAAATAGTTGAATCCATCCATTATTTTCGTTCAAAAATTTTTTTTCATGTGTACCGGTTCTTCCTACCATTTTGATAAAGTCGAATTTTTTTTGTGTCACGTAATGTTTCTTTTTGCTCTTCTCCTATTTTATCCATTCACTATTTTAGTTCGAGGACTATTTCGTAAGTGCTGGCTATTCTTTCCATTGTGGTACGATCGAGTTTCTTGTGTCTATTTCACTTCCATTATTTCTTCGGATTGCAGTTTCTTCGCGCCGAGTCATTTTTTGTACCAGGTAGGTTTCTTATTGCTCTTTTACTTCTTCTATCCTTTCACTATTTCAGTTCCAAGGCTCTTTCCTATGTGGTAGACATTATTGCCATTTTGATACGATTGAGTTTTCTATCTAGTTCGCTACCAAAGTTTTTCGGATTGCAGTTTCTTCGTGCCATTGTAATCGCCGACTCAATTTTTGTCTCAGGTAGATTTCCTTTTGCTCTCCTGTCTACTGGTACCTATCTAATCACTACCTCAATTTTAAGGTTCGTTCGGGTCTACTGTTTCCTCGTGCCTTTTGGAAATCGTCTATTTTTCGGTGTCAGGTATATCTTTTTTGCTCTTCTCTCTACTTTCTTCTAACCATTCACTATTTTATTCCTAGGGTTCTCGCGTGTACTGGTGCTTATAGCTTTCTGTTACGGTCGAGTCTATTTGTGAAAGGTGTGCTTCATACCGGGAAGTAGGACTCATTCGCCCACCGCCTGTCTTGCTTCTTTCGAGCTTCTAAAATCAAATGGCAACATGATTAAGGGACTGGCATTCAACTAAATATTGCACCTTACCAAAGCGCTTCCGTACTTCTTCAAAGTCTTGATTTCGTCTCGGATCTTTTGATCAACCTGCTTTTCCGTTCTGAATGCAACTCCAAGTTGCATTCACGTCTTGAGTTAACTGCGATAAAAAGCGTTTTTTTGCCTAAAACCATTGCAATAC